CAAAGCCTGCTCAGTGGGGAGCCCAGGTGGAGGGAGCAGTTGGTCCAGGGGCTGGAGGGACCCCCGAGCAGGCACCAGTCCAGGGGGAGGGAGATGGAGAAGAAAGAATGTATGATCGTTGGACCATAAAGAAGGCTGAGAGCCGAAGAACTGATGCTTGTGACCTGCGATGTTGGAGAAGACTCTTGAGGGCCCATTGGACAGCAAGGAGATCCAACCAGTCCATCCTAAAGGAAATCAGTCCTGAATATTCATTGGAAGGACTGATGCTGAAGCTGAAGCTCCAATCCTTTGGCCACCTGATTTGAAGAACTGACTCATTGGAAAAGACCTTGATGCTGGGAAAGATTGAAGGCAGGAGAAGGGGACGACAGAGGATGAGATGCTTGGATGGCATCACTGACTCAATGGCTTTGAGCAAGCCTGGGGAGATAGTGCTGCAGTCCATGGGGTCGCAAAGAGGTGGACACGACTGAGCGACTGCACAACAGTGAAGGCCGTGTGGCTGCTGTGACAAATCACTGCAAATGGTAACTTGAAGCAGCACCGATTTGTCCTCTTTTGGTCTGCGAGGCCGGCAGTCCTGGTGCAGTGAGAATCAAGGGGCCAGCAGAGCTGGCTCTTTCTGGGGTCTTTGGGGCGTGGGGGACCCGTCCTCTGCCCTTTCCAGCTACCAAAGGCCACCTGAGCTTCAGGTCCATTACTGTGTCTTCTCAAACTCCGCCCCTCCTGCCTCCCTCCTCTGTATTTGGACCCTGGGGAGACACTAGCCCACCTGGAAAGTCTAAGATCATCCGCCTCCCCCTTGAGGTCCTTAATCACATCTGCAAAGTCCCCTCTGCCTGGTCAGGTCACAGTGACAGGTTCCAACGATTAGCACACAGGCATCTTTGGGGTCCGTGATCCTGCTGACCACAGAGGGAACCTACTATTTTATCAAGCTTGGCAGCTGGCAGGGCTCCGGGGCTGCTTTATGGGGATCCGTCTTTAAGCCCAGTCTCGGGGACTTGAACTTTTCCTTGAGGCCCTGGGGAGCGGCTAGTGGGTTTGAAGCCTGAACCCTCCCTGGGGCCCCCAGACATCATCTCTGATCCAGTCAGCCTGCGGCCCTGCTGGTTCGAGGGTTGTAGGTGGGGGGCTCCCCGTGGACCCAGTGTGGCTGAGACAGAACCCCGCGAGCCGCTGAAGCTGGGGCTGGGCTGGGGGTTGCTGGCCTACTCCGAGGCCCCTGCTCCCGCACAGCCGGGAACACATGCTTTACATTAAGGCTGTTTTCCATCCTGGTTTGGCACATGAGGGTCGCCCGCTGCACATGGTCCTGGAGGGGCTGAGCCTCTGCATCAGAATTCCGAGCCTGCAAGCTCTGCCTGCGGAGAGGAGGCCTTTGAAGTTGATGAGGTGGGAGGGGAGCGGGGAGGGGGCGGAGAGGAAACCACCCACCCTAGCCACCCTGGCCCCTCAGGCAAGGTGGCGCAGCCCGCGGGAGGGCTCGGACCTGAACCCTGCTAGAGGGGAAGGTCGAATCAAGGTCACAGGTGGGATGGGATGGCGGCTTCTCAAACCCAGCCTGGTGGGAGGTTCTGGGCTGAGCTTGGGTTTGGGTCATAGCCCCCTCCCGTCGATGCGGGCCTGGCAGTCTTTGCCCTTCACCTCTCTTCGGAGGGAGTCGAGCCCCCGGGCTGGATGTGTCCTGTTCGGACTCCAGACACTCAGGCTCCATGGGGTTCAGGAGGCCTCATCAAGGCCCTCATCAGTGGCCTCATCGTGCTGATGGGGGGTCTGGGCTCCAGCTCTGGGGGAGACCTTCTGCTTGCCACCTCCCAATCCAGCCTGGCTCTCAGACCCACTTCTCCACTCTGTGCCCCGCGTGTTTATGTCTTCTGCTCAGTCTCGTCCTCTTCACGACCCCACCAGTCTCCTCTGTCTGCGGGATTTCCCAGGCCAGAGTGCTGGAGTGGGTTGCCGTTTCCTTCACCAGGGGATCCTCCTGATCCAGGGATCGAACCCGCGTCTCCTACATCTCCTGCATTGGCAGACAGGCTCTTTAGCATTGATGCCACCTGGGGAGGCTGGGCCCCACCTGGGTCCACCAGCGAGTCCCACCAGCGGAGGCTGAGCCCCTCCTGGGTCCACCAGCGAGTCCCACCAGCCCCTCCCCAGCAGGGTCCACACTCTTGACCACCCTCCACAGGGCCCGCCCACCCTTCTTAGCCAACAGCACTTCCTGCCTGAAGCAGCCTTGCCCACCAGGGCCCTCAGTGCCCAGACCACCACCACCCACCCCCCGGCAAGGTTGCTGGCACCCGCTGCCCTGTCTACGCTGCCTCCCGCTCCTTCTCTGCCATCTGCACTCAGCTCCTCCATCCTGCGTCCTGTATTGGGGGGCTCAGGTCACCCCCAGAGAAGAGCACACAGGTTCCCAGGCCTCGTGCCGGGCTCAGAACCCACGGTGACCCCCGAACCCCACTGCTCGTGTTCCTAAACCGTGCTGTGGACTCGGGACTTTGTCAGTGCAGTTCCCCCCCAAGAAGGCTCCTCCTCCATTCGCAGCCACCCCCTGCCTGGCCACCACGGCCCGTCCTCCGTGACACTTTTCTGGAAGGAGCTCATCCCTGAATCACCACAGCCCACCCTGTGCTGTCCTCGGCTCTCCGAACCCTGGGTCTGTACCCCCGGCGTTCGCTCCGGTGTAAGCTGAAGGGCGCCAGCTTCCCTGCGTGGGGTCCCTTTGGAAACCTGTGACTTGGAGACCAAGCCATGTTGCCCCTCACACACTTCCTAGCTCCTCACACACAGGTGGTGCCTGGAGGATGCCTCATGCAGGTACAGGATGGATTCAGATGGCACCTGAGTGCTGTCATCACCGCCTGGAGCCCTCCTGGGGCCAGAGGGCAGTTCTGGAGTGCAGGTGCCTGGAGGAGAGAAGCTGAGAAAGACCTTAGGCAGAAGAGATCATTGGAACTGGGTTGTGAAGGTTGAATAGGAGTCTGTGAGAGGCAGAAGTGGAGAAATTAGTGCCACATGAACCTCTGTGTCTCTGGGGACCAGAAGTTGGCAAGCTATAGCCCAATGGCCAAATTCTGCCTGTGATCTATTTTTGCACAGCCTGCAAGCTTTGTCATCGTTCAGTCGCTCAGTCGTGTCCGACGCTTTGCAACCCCATGGACTGCAGCGCGCCAGCCTCTCTGTCCTCTGCTCTCTCCCAGAGTTTGCTCAAATTCACGTCCATGAAGTCGGGGATGCTCTTTAACCACCTCATCCTCTGCCACCCCCTTCTCCTTTTGCCCTCTATCTTTCCCATCAGCAGCCTCTTCTCCAGTGAGTCGGCTCTTTGCATCAGGTGGCCAAAGTATTGGAGCTTCAGTTTCAGCATCAGTTCTTCCAATGAACATTCAGTGCTGATTTCCTTTAGGACTGACAGGTTTGATCTCCCTGCAGTTCAAGGGACTCTCAAGAGTCTTCTCCAGGACCACAATTTGAAAGCGTCAGTTCTTCGGTGCTCAGCCTTCTTTCTGGCCCCACTCTCACATCCCTACATGACTACTGGAAAAACCATAGCTTTGACGATAAGGACCTTCTCTGGAGGAGGAAACAGCAACTCACTCCAGTATTCTTGCCACGAGAACTCCATGAATGGTATGAAAATCAACCGGCAAGTTAAGAGTGGTTTTGTATTTGTGAAGGCTTAGAGAAAATAAGTCTTCCCAGACGGGTCAGTGGTAAAGAATCCATCTGCCAATGCAGGAGACACGGGAGATGTAGGTTCGATCCCTGGGGTGGGAAGATCCCCTGGAGGAGGAAATGGCAACCCACTCCAGTATTTGCCTGGAAAACCCCATGGACAGAGGAGCCTGGAGGGCTGTCGTCCGTATGGTCACAAAGAGCCAGACACAACAGAGCAACTGAGCACACAAAAAAGTAATAAAGAGGAAAATGCAACAGAGACGACAAAAAAAACATTTTAGGTTAAATGTTACTTTCTGGGCATTTAGAGAAACCTTTGGGAAGCCCTTTCCACGTGGGGGAAGGTTGCAGGCGGGACTGTCCCTCTATCAGGGGCAGGAAAAGATGAGGAGGGGGCTGATTTGCCTGTGTGGGTGGAGCCCATTGCAAGCAGGGACCAGGCAGGACCCACCCCGGAGGTCTCAGCGGGCGGTCGCCCCTCTCTTGCCCCTCTTTCGCAGAGAGCTGGGGGAGCGTGGGTGAGATCATGGCTGTCACAGGCATGCGAAGGGCCGGCCTAGGGCCCCCCGTCCCTCCAGCCAGATCCCTGACCTGCAGGGCCTGAGACAGAGCAGGCTCCCACACTCATTTCTAAATTAGCCGGATTTTCCACCGGCTGGCTGGGTCTGGAGGGACCTGACAAGATGATGTTCCAAGCTTAAGAAACGTTTTAGCTCTAATGAGCTGGAATGCTGGTGGTTTCTTCTAATCCCACTGTGTTTACCCCAATCAACGATCGAAGGTTGGCTGGGATGACTGTCATTTTTCCTGTGATTAGTGCTCTGGCAGGCCCGTCTGTTTTCCAGGAAACGCCACTCTCCCCTTCTCTGGGCCGCCTCATAGCATCCTCGGAGGAGGCCCTGGGATGTCAGGCAGGGATGCCAGTCATGGTGCCGGGTGCTGGGTGGACGTTGGGCAACTAAGAGAAGCTCGGGGGCTTTGCATCCTCTGCCCCACCTGGAGCTCCATGGCAACCATAAGTTCTGTACCTGCTTCTACCAAGTGGTGAGCCTCCTGAGGGCAGGGATTTTCCCTAATCACTGTCTTAGCTTGGGCCCCTCTGAAGCAGACTCTGGACAAGGAGACCATGCCAGAGGTTTATTTGGAAGGCGATCCTGGAAACACGAAGGGAGGGAGCAGGGAGCATTTCTAAGCAAGTGTCCCCTAGGGTCATGGGGGCTCAGTCCCCCTGGGGTCTCCATGAGCCAGTGGGAGCAGGGAGCCGGCAGGTTTGTGCCTCAGCCCCCAGCCCACTCCCGAGGTTGTTAACCCCCCAGTACTGGAGGCCAACCATGGTGCAGGAGTGGAGAGAGCATATACCGCTTCAGTGCATTTAACGCTTCAGCTGAGGGCAAGATGCAGCTGTTGGCAGCTGGAGGTCCACCTGGCACGCTCCGAAATGTGAGATCCAAGGAGACGTGGAGCTGCGGGCCCTACGCATCCACCATGAGGACATCTTCTCCCGCCGTCTGGTGCCCCGCCCGCTGCCACATGCAGCGCTGGTCCTGCAAGCGCTGTCTGGCAGAGCGGCTCCCTGTGTGATGGGCAGGGGCAGGCCCCCATGCACGGCCGTCACCTCGATCACTGAGGCCTGCCAGGGTCTCCTAAGTTCCCGGTGAGTACAGCCTCGGGACTCCAAGAGGACTTTGACCCAGGCAGGTCGTGGCTTCCCTGTGTTATACACCTCAGGGCTCGGCGTGGCCCCACATACATAGTGGCCTGGGTCAGGTGTGTCCGGCAGGGCAGGCTGGAGGCCTGAACATCAGGCGAGGGCAGTGGGGTGACTTCTGATGTGCAGGGGACCCAGATGGCCTGGGACTCAGCAGAGCTAGATGTTGCCCCATCTAGCTAAAGCTAGATGTTGTCCTAAAGCTCTGGGCAGGGTCCTCTGCACACCCTGTGTGGCCTGGGTTCCTCGCCCAAGGTGTTCATGGTCCAGCGTGGAAAGAAATGCAGGGACCCGGTTACGGGCCTGGGGGAGCAACACCCCCCACTTCACAGCCTGAGCCCCAGCTGTTTTCTGTTATCTGGTCTGCTCAGTGGCCGTGGAGAATCAGTCCCAGTGACTCCATTTCACAGATAAGAATGCCGAGGTCAACCTACGGGAGAGTGACTGAGCAGACCTGGCTCCAAGCGATGCCCTGGAAACATCCCTCATGGTCCAGTGGTTAAAAATCCGCCTTGCAATGCAGGGGACGTGGGTTCGATCCCTGGCCAGGGAACCAAGATCCCACATACCACTGAGCAGCTAAATACCACATACTACGTATCCACATACCACGAGCCCAGGTGCCACAGCCAGAGAGCTTGAGGGCCTCAATGAGAGATCCTGCAGCTGAGACCCAATGCAGGAGAATAAATAATGAAATAATAATGATGATGATAAAAGTGGTGCCCTGGAAGAAATGCTGGCTCTCTCTTCTCCTATCAGTTACCTATGCTGTGGAACAAATTACCAGAACCCAGTGGCTTAAAACGACACACCTTTTTTTCTTTTTTTCTCACAGCTTCCGGGGACAGAACTGCAGGCTGGCTGAGCTGAGTCCTCTGCCTGGACCCCCGAAGCTGCAATCCGGGGGCCGTGTTTTCATCTGGAGGCTCGACGGCCAGGGAGGGCAATCTGTTTCCCGACTCCCTTGGGTTGTTGGCAGATTTCCCATTCCTGCAGCTCTGGGACTCACGGTGACTGGCTTTCCAGGCCAGCAGGAGTGTCTGACCTCTGGGAAGGCCCAGTCCCCTGCTTAAATCAGGCCCAACCCAGTGTGAAGTGCCTTTTGATGAACTCAAAATCTGCTGACTTGGGCTTCCCATTGCATCTGCAAACTCTTGTCCCTTTGCCATGTCCTAGTGACTAGAGGTGGGTCCCAGGCTTGTCTTCAGCCAAGCATAATCCCTCCCACTCCCCTCACGTCCTGATGTCTCCATGCTGTGTCTGCTCCGCCGCGACTCTGGGTAAGTCCTTCACTCTCTCTGGGCCCAAGTCTTCCGTGTTGTGAGGGCAGAGGTGGCAGACCAGGGCAAGCCCAGCGTCCCTTTTACACTGTCATCCAGGAGGGGCAGTCTCTGAGACCCCACTGGTGACCGAGAGTGAAAGCCTGGTGTCCAGGGAGTCGGAGGGGAGGACAGGCCAGAGCCCAGAGCTGGCGTCTCTGCATCAGCCCTTCCTCTCTCTCCCAAGCCTTGTGCTTTTTGTAGGGGAAGAAAAAAAAATTTTTTTTCCCTCCTCTTTTTTTTTTTTTTAAAAAGAGGAGCAGTGAGCTGCCATGTAAAGGACCTGGAAGAGGCCAATTGAGAAACACATGGGGGACAGCCTGAGGGGCTGATATGAATGGCCAGCCGTGTCGCTGTGGGCTGTGCAGAAGCCAGAACCTCTGTGACCAAGGGGAGCTGTGGGCAGTGGGTGCCAAGGGATCTAGGACCCACCAGTCCCACCCTCCCCATCCCCAAGGAGCCCTTGACATGTGGCAGCCAGCCCCTGGTGACCCTGAGCTGCACGCTCACAAGGCCAGCACCAAGGCTGCATATCTAATTGCAACTTCTCCGAAGCCTGCCTGCATGTCCCCCACTGCTGCCCAGGGTGCTTCTGCCTTGGCATGGCTGACCAACATTTGGAAAGAGTGATTTCAGAGACTGTTCGTTCCAAGAGGGTCTGTCAGCCTGGAGATCAGGAAAGCCCCTTCCTCTCCCCAGGCTTCAGTGTGAGATCCCCTGCAGGAGGGCATGGCAACTCACTCCAGTATCCTTGCCTGGAAAATCCCAAGGACAGAGGAGTCTGGCGGGCTACAGTCCATGGGGTCAGGAAGAGTTGGACACGACCGAGTGACTTAGCTTGCACAGCACTGTAGCTCAGATGACGAAGGTGGGGATAGTTGCTATACACTGTGGGTTTTGTGGATGTTTCTGGAAGAGGGGGAGTCTTGTGCAGAGGAGGCAGGACCCAGGCTTTGCTGTTTGGGTGCATCTCCTGCAGGAACACTTGTGCTGGGCCATGGACAGACTCAGGGAGCATCTTGCACCAGGGGCAGGTTTCATTTAGCCCCATCCCCACCCCACCCCCCAAGGCAGCCACACAGAGTCACACCAGGAGCAGCCATGTCACCAGATCCGATGTCTCCCTTCCTTTCTTGACCATCTCTTCTTCCCTGGTGTCTGCGACATCTGCTGACCATCTCGGTTCCCTTGCAGGCTCTCACACCCACTCATTGGTGACACTTCTGGAGGGCATTAACCTTAGGATTCTTCCCTTCTGCTGCCCCACCACCCCTGAGCGATGCTGTGGTGTTAACAGGTCCCATAGATAAGGCGAGAAGAGAACCCTTCAAGGAGGGATCACTCTCCAGGGGCACCAAGACCAGAAGAGGAACTGGAGTGCACAGTGACCTGGGCCATCAGAGGGCTGGTAACAGACAGTGAGGGATCGCAGACGGGGTCCCTGTGCCCTGGAGCCAGTCAAGGACCGGCTCCTGGAGATGGTTCCAGGAGGCTGAGAAAGAAATACCATAGTATGTCAAGGATCGATGCTGACACTCCAGCCACTGAGCCAGGCTCTCTTTCCATCCATCTGACAAATGTTTATTGAGAACCAGTGTTGGCCGTTGCATTCTCACCTCACCCACCTTATTAACTTTAATCATCACAGCTACCCCATAAGGTCTGTTGACATGCTATGCATCTTTGCGGATCTGCTGTGACTCAGCTAATGAGTGGCAAGTGCAGGTACAGAACCCGGGCCTGCATCGCTTCTTCACTACATCGAGAAGAGCTAAAAATTAGGAATTAGAGGACTTCCCTGACAGTCCAGCGGTTAAGACTTCCCCTTCCAACGCAGGGGGTGCAGTTTCGATCCCCAGGCATGGGACTAAGAGCCCATGTGCCTTGAGACCAAAAAATCAGAACATAAAAGTGCATGTATGCTAAGTCCTTTTATGACTCTTTGTGACCCCATGAACTGTAGCCTGCCAGGCTCCTCTGTCCATGGGATTCTCCAGGCAAGAATCCTAGAGTGAGATGCCATGCCCTCCTCCAGGGCATCTTCCTGATCCCGGGATCGAGCCTGCATCTCCTGCGTTGGCAGGCAAATTCTTTACCACTGAGCAACCAGGGAAGCCCCAAAACATAAACATTAAATATTTTTTTTAATGTTAAAATAAGAAGAATCAGGAATTAGAAGAGGCGTCAGATGTGTGACGACAACAGCTGTGGAGACCTGGCAAGGGGCAGAGGGCACGTACGAGTGCCCACGTTTCTCTCCTCAACCCAAACGGAGCTGTCTAGGTCTGAGCACAGAGCCTACACATTCTATGAGAATATTTTTTAAGGTGTGTGTGTTCCTTTTAATAATAACAGAAGCATTCATTTTGCCAGCTGTAAAGGTCAAACTTCTTGTAGGGACTTCCCAAGTGTTTCCCACACTGAGGATTATGGTTCTTGAGAGGGTTCACTGGCCCATTTGCAGAACCTGAGAACCCTATTTCCTTCTAAAATGGTTAAGGAAGATGTTAAAATAGAAATTGCCAGTTCTAGCCACGATGGAGTGGGCTCCTTTTTCTTTCTTCCCCTTTACAATGAAAGAAGAAAAAAAAAAACACAAACCTTCGGCATCACCTAACCAGCTTGGAAAGCTTCTGAAGGATGAAACAAAGGATGGTCAAGGGGTCTTAGGACTTAGGGGCAACATGGCCCTGGGTCCCTGGGCTTTCTCTCTGCCTCCCATCCATCCCACACTGGCATAATTCTCACCAGATGGTGAGGCCGGGACCAAAAAAAAAAAAAAAAGCCCCAAGAAGAGCCTGTTCCCTGTAGCCAAAGGAAACAGTCAGCTTAGCAGAGCATAAGGCCATTTTTAAAGATACCTGCCCTCATGGAGTCAAACACCAGTGAGGAAACTGCCTCTCTGGTGGCGGAGCGAGCAAGGAGGTATCATCCACCTGAGCAGCAGCAGGACCAGGACACAGAGGCAGCCCGCGCTCAGTGAATGAATGTCCACCTCCCAGAGCAGTCAGCGGGCTCCTGGACACGCAACACAAATCCTGGAGGCAGGATGAGGCAGCACCACTTGGAACTTGGCTTCCCCACACTTGGTGCCCATGGGGCCCAGTGGGGAGCTGAATCCCCACCCTTAGCCAATGGCAAGCAGACGGTTTGCATGGCAGAGCTATGCTTTTGTCGAGGCGGTCTCAGTAGAGTTGGGCAGGGGGGAACCAAGCTTCCGGTCACGCCTTTTGCCAGCAAGGTGCTGTGATTTGGAGGATCACTTTAGCCCAGGTGGGGGTTCAAGACATCAGGCAGGAAGCTGAATACTCACCCCACCCAGGCCTGCACATGACACCTAAACAAGGAGACCCAGACAGAGATTAAATAGGATCCAGAGCCTTGTTTTATGATGCCTCAAAGATCCTGGATACAATAAAGCATCACTCATCGTACCAAGAATCAGGGCAATCACTGTCTGAAAGAGAAACAACAATCAACAGATGCCAACACTGAGATGAATCAGATGTTGAAATTATCTGACAAGGATTACAGAGCAGCAATCACAAAAGCGCTTCCACAGCAATTTGAAGATGCTTGAGATACATGAAAAAAAAATCCAGAAAATCAGAAATAAAAGATATAAAATGATGCCAAGGGGAAATTTTGGAACTAAAAGAAAAAAAAAAGAGCAATAACTGAGACTTCAAAATCACTGGACGGGCTCAAAGGTGGATTGGAGATAACAAAGGAAGAAAGTTCTGAATTTCAAAGAGATCAATAGGATCAAGAAGGACCAGCCTGAGCCAAAGAGAGAAATAGAATGAAAAAAAAAGTAAATAAACAGACACTCAATGACCTGTTGAAGGTTCTAACACTCTCGTCATTGGAGTCTGAGAAAGAGAGGACAGAAAATTGAGGCTGAAAGAAGAGTTAAAGAAATGATGGCTGATTAATCCCTCTAATCTGGCAAAAGGTGTCAGCCTATAGATTCAAGAAGCTGAGTGGATCCCAAATAGAATGAACGCAAAGAACTCCATGCCAAGAAACGTCATAATGAAACTTTTGAAAAGTGAAGACACAGGATTGCTGAGGCCAACCAGAGTGCAATGACATACTATATTTATGGGAACCTCAATCCAAACAGGGCTTCCCTGTTGGCCCAGTGCTAAGTTTTCCCGTAGTGCAGGAGACGAGGGTGGGAAGATGCCCTGGAGGAGGGCATGGCAGCAGACTCCAGCATCTTACCTGGAGAATCCCAAGGACAGAGGAGGCTGGCAGGCTGCAGTCCATGAGGTCACAAAGTGTCAGACAGCACTAAGCGAATGAGCACAGCGCAGCAATCAAAACAAATGCAGATTTCTCACGAGGGTCAGGAAGAAGAGGTATATTTTTAGAGTTCTGAAAGAAAAGAACTGTCAACCCCCAAATCCTATATCAAGAAAACAATGTTCTTCAAGAATAAAAGGGAAATAAATCATAAACTGGTGCTATGCTTAGTCGCTCTGTCATTTCCGACTCTTTGTGACCCCATGGAGTGTATGTAGCCCACCAGGCTCCTCCGTCCATGGGATTCTCCAGGCAAGAATACTGGAGTGGGTTGCCATGCCCTCCTCCAGGAGATCTTCCCAACCCAGGGATCAAACTCAGGTCTCCTGCATTGCAGACAGATTCTTCACCATTGAGCCACCAGGGAAGCCCAGATCATAAATCTAAACTTAAAATATGGAGTTATAATTCCTAGAATTCCTATAATTCCTAGAAGGAAACATGGGAGGAATTCTACCTGACCTTGATTTTGGTGGTGAGCTTTTACATGCACTATCAACAGCATGCTCTGTGAAGGGAAAAGGTGATAAATTGGATGTTATTAAGATTTAAAACTTCTGTTCTGCAAAAGACACTGAAGAGAATGGAAATGCAGTTCACATACTGGGAAGAAATATTTGCCCAACACATATCTGCTAAAGGACTTATATCCAAAATTTTTTTAAAAAAGAACTCTTAAAATTCAGCAATAGGAAAGCAAACAACTTAAGGAAAAAAGATCTGAAGTGACTTCTCATCAAAGAAGATTCACACATGGTAAATAAGTATATGAAAGGTACTCAATATCACATGTCATTGTTGTTCAGTCGCTCAGTCATCTCTGACTCTCTGCAACCCCATGGACTGTAGCATGCCAGGCTTCCCTGTCCATCACTGTCTCCCAGAGTTTGCTCAAACTCACGTCCATCGAATCGGTGATGCCATCCAACCATCTCATCCTCTGTCATCCCCTTCTCTTCCTGCCCTCAATCTTTCCCAGCATTAGGGTCTTTTCTAAAGAGCTGGCTCTTCACATCAGATGGCCAAAGTATTGGAGCTTCAGTTTCAGCATCAGTCCTTTCAATAAATATTCAGAACTAATTTCCTTTAGGATGGACTGGTTTGATCACCTTTCAAACCACAATTTGAAAGCATCAACTCTTCAGTGCTCAGCCTTCTTTATGGTCCAACTCTCACATCCATACATGACTACTGGAAAAACCCTAGGTTTGAATAGATGGACCTCTATTGTCGTTAGGGACTTGCAAATTAAAACAATGATGAGATACCAACGTATCCATTAGGTTGCCTAAAATCCAATTCTTGATGGCTGGTACAGGTGCAGAGTAACAGGAAATCTCATTCATTGCTGGTCAGAAGGCAAAATGGCATAGTCTTCTAGGAGATAGTTTGACAGCTTCTTACAAAGTGAAACATAATCTTACCACAGGATCCATCAAACTGCTCAGTATTTATCCAACCGAATTAAAAACACAAGTCCACCCAAAAACCTGCAAATAAATGTTGATAGAAATTTTATTCATAAATGCCCTAAACTGGAAGCAACCAAGGTGTCTTTCCTAGGAGAATGGATAAACAAACGGTGGTTCATCCACACAATGGAATATTATTCAACAATAAAAGGAAATGACCTATTGAGCCACGAAGACATGGATAGACGTGAAATGTCCGTTTCCTTTTTAAGAATCTATTCATTTTTAGTTGTAGGATAATAGCTTTACAGTATTGTGTTGGTCTGTGCCATACATCAACATCAATCAGCCATGGGTATACACATATGCCCTTCCTCTTGACTCTCCCTCCCACCTCCCACCCTATCGTACCCCTCTGGGTTGTCACAGATCGCCTGATTTGAGCTTCCTGGGTCACAGGGAGTTTCCACTGGTTATCTATTTTGTATACAGTCATGTATATGTTTCCATGCTTCTTTCTCAATTCGTTCCACCCTCTCCTTCCCCAACTGTGTCCCCAAACCTGTTCTCTATGTCTTGCCTCTCCATAACATCATATATTAACCCATTTTTGGAAAACTTTTCATTTTATACTATACTTAGAATATAGTTAACAGTGTTTTGTTAGTTTCAGGAGTACAGCAGAGGGATTTGGTTATACACATACACGTGTCTATTCTTTTTCCAACTCGTTTTCCATTTAGGTCGTTACACAAACTGAGCAGACTTCCCTGTGCTATACCGGAGGTCCTTGTTGGTTATCCATTTTAAACATAGTGGTGTGTACATGTCCATCCCAAACTCCCTAACTATCCCTCCCCTCTACCTTTCCCCCACGGTAACTCTAAATTTGTTCTCTAAGGTTGTGAATCCATTTCTATTTTGTAAGTAAGTTCAGTTGTATCCTTCAATTTTAGATTCCCCTTATAAGCCATAGGGTGTTTTTCTTTCTCTGTATGACTTAGTTGCTCAGTTTGACAATCTATAGGTGTATTTGATGCAAATGGCATTATTTCATGATTTTTAATGGCAAAGTAATATTCCATTGTGCATAGGTGCCACATCTTCTTTATCCACTCTTCTGCTGATGAACATTCAGGTTGCTTCCATGTCTTGCCTATTGTAAACAGTGCTGCAATGAACCCTGGGGTGTATGCATCCTTTCAAACCATGGTTTTCTCTGGATGTATGCCCATGAATGGGATAGCAGGATCATATGATAGCTCTATTTTTAGTTTTTTTAAAGGGATTATCATACCGTTCTCCAAATGCCCATTTCTAAATGAATAATTATACTGTTTAGAATATTGTTAAGTGAAAAAAAAATTCTTTTAAAAGGCTGTGTACAATAGATTTCTGATATGACATTATGGGAAAGACAAAACTATAGAGATAGTGAAAAAAGTGTGGTTGTTGAGAGGTTGGGGGAAGGCGTTGAATGAGTGAAGCACAAGAGATAGTTTAGGGCAGCAAAGCTATTTTTTATTACATTACCGTGGTGGACACGTGACGCTATTCATTAGTCAAAACCCATAGAACTCTGCAGTATGAAGAGTGAACTGCATTATATGCAAATTAGAAAACCATTCAGGAGGTTGGCGCATCTCAGGATAAAATGCAGATGGTGACAGAATAATCTAAATATATTAGACACGGATGACACGACCTCACTGAAGGGAATGGGGTGGGTGGAAGGAACTTTGAAAATAGTAGAGTCAGTAAGACTGAGGGCAACAGAATTGCACGCAAGTGCACATAAACACGGTACTCTAATTCAAGGAGCTGTTTCCTATGGGGGAATGTGTGGGCTAATGATTGTGAAGCCACGAGGCATGTACACTGGAAGCGAACAATTAAAAAATAGACGGCAGATGGTAGGAACCGAATTCCCCATTGTCTGAATGAGAAGTTACAGCTGAGTAAGGGAGGAGTCTAGAATGGTCCACGTGCCGATGCAGCAGAGCTGGAGCCACCAGCATGAACATGTTCACTGTGATATAAACACAGATGGCTACATGTAGAGCTTCGTATTGATGCGCACACATACGAGGTAGTAGAAGCCAACACTCTCCTCGTTCCGAGGGCTTGGAGGGCCAAGAAGCAATGACTCTCCGGTAGCAGCGAACACATCTTGTGCCCAGATGTTGCCTTCTCGTAACATTATCCAAGAGAAGGAGCCAGGGTTCCCTGGGAAAACGACCGACTGCAGGAGGGAGGCCAGGAAGCATAAGAGGTGCCTGAAGCATCCTGCAGCGTAGGAAGGAAGAAAGTCCCTAAACACCAAACCAAACCAGAAAACCCACGACCACCTGAAATATGTCAACGGGATAAAGCGGTCAGTTCAGAGGGAGCCCAGTGGCCAAAGTGGAAACAACTCTGGGGAACAAAATAGAAACGTCGTACTGGGGGCACTTTCCTGGTGGTCCAGGGACTAAAACTCCGCACTCCGAATGGCCGGGGCTCGGTTCGATCCCTGGTCAGGAAACCAGGTCCCCCATGCTCACCTGAGTCCTGGCACAGCCAAATCAATCAATCAATCTTTTAAAAAAACATAGTATCGGATTATAAGCTAAAGCATAAACTGAATATCCTGGAGTTCATACTGACATAAATAAATGATTGAATAAATGAATGAATGAATGGATATAGACAATAGCCTATGCAGGAGAACTCAACACCTGAATGCAATATGGTGTCTTGAGCGGAAACCGGGAGAGAAAAAGGATGTTAAGAGAAAAGTAAGGAAGTGTGTATAGTATTGGGATGGCCAAAAACTCATTCAGGTATTTTTTGTAACATCTTATGAAAAAGCAGAACAAACATTTTGGCCAACTCAATATATGGGCTCTAGTTAATACCAACACATCAGTATTGGCTCACGAATTGTGGCAAATTGCCATGCTAATGTAAGATGTTAATAATAGGAGGAACTTGGTGCAGGGTATATGTGAACTCCTTATACAACCTTTGGAATAATTCTGTACATGTAAAACTGTTCTAAAAGTATAAGTTTACTTTTAAATATTCAAATGTAAAAAGAAAGAAAAGGAACAAATTGTTGGTACATACAACAGCCTGGATGGATCTCAAAGGTGGTGTGCTCGTGCAAAAGTCAATCTCAAAACTCTCACATACTATGTAATTACATTTGCATGGCATTATTAAAATGACCAAAATAGAGAAATCAAGAATATATGAATGGTTTCTAAGGCACAAGAATGGAAGGGGTGAGAATAAAAGGGAATAGCAAAAGGAGATCCTTTGTGTGATTAACGGTTACATGAATTTTATATGGGAATGCAGTGCATAGAACTATACACACACATGCACACAACACACAAATGAATGGAAGTAGAAACTAAATAACTTCTGTGGTCTAATTAACAGTATTGTACCAACATCAGCTTCCTTTTTTGGGTGTTGCACTAAAGCTATCATCATTAAGAGAAGCTGAGAGAACAATATATTGGACTTTATGCACTATTTTATCAATTTCCAGGGAGACTATAATAATTTTTTTAAAGTAAAATTAAATGTCTGAATAGTCCAATAATGGTGGGATTGCTTGTAACATATCATGCCTTCTCCTGACAATAACTGCACTCTGGACAAAACATAAAAACAGCTGCTTGAAGACACTTAAAAACAATCAACAATGGGCTGAAACTTGAAAGGATACGACACTTAAAACAAGGGAAACAGCAGATGAGATATATGTATAATGAACTTTTGCCCTGGAGGCACCCTCCAGTTTATAAGGCACACAGGAATAGAGACAAAGAAGAGAGTGGCTGTCTGAAAAGGCTGAGTCCTCAAGGCCTGAACTCAGTGAAACCAGAGAAACTAGAAAATGAGGAAATCCAGGACGAAAGAGAGCTCAGGGGCGGAAGAGGATATCCTTGAACCTGCATATAAACGCCTCTTGGCTGACTCATAAACTGTACATTCACAAGGTTGCATCCAAAAATACCAGTGGAAAGCAACACCGAGGTCTTTAAGATGAGAGCAGAGATTTAACTGGCTGGTCAGCTCAGGGGACACAAGAAATGGAAGTTCAACCTCTATACTTTCGGTCCTTCAACTGAAACCAAGGAAAGGCTATGCCTTAGGCAAAAAGGTCAAGTCCTAAGACTTAGGGGGGTACTGTTGGACTGAGAGAAAGCCGGGACAGACTTGCCCTTTCAAAGCCTAAACCCCAAACTTCCACAAGGTCCAGCCGATGGTTGGTAATTAATTTCGTTGGCAGTAGGACAAAAGGTGGCGCTGGTGTTAAGAATCTGCCTGACGATGCAAGTGGCCGGGGAGGTGGAGGTGGGGGAAATGGCAAGCCACTCCGGGATTCTTGCCTGGGAACTCACATGGACAGAGGAGCCTGGCCAGCCACAGTCCACGGGGTGGCAAAGAGTTGGACACAATTTAGTGACTGAACAAAAACAACAAGGACGAAAGGTGACATTCTTCTGAGGAGAATACCAGAACCCAGAGCCTCTACAATAGATCATTCACAATGTCCATTATTTAAGTTAAAATTACCCGGCGTGAAAAGAGGACTTCCCCGGTGGCTCAGGCAGTAAGCCTGCAAGGCCGGAGACCCGAGTTTGACCCTGGGTCAGGAAGACCCCCTAGAGAAGGCAATGGCACCCCACTTCAGCAATCCTGCCTGGAGAAGCCTGGCAGGCTACAGTCCCTGCGGTCACAAAGAGAGTGACTAACACGTTAACGACTTTTCAGGCAATACAAAGAAGCAAGAACGTGTAACATAGATAAAAGAAAATCTTGGTCAGAAGAAGCAAACTGGCAGAAAACCCAGCTGTCAGAATTACTCGATAAGAACTTTGAAATAAGTATTATAGATATATTTTTTAAATTTACAGAAAAAGATGGATTGATTGTATATATTTTCCCACTGGGGTGGGAAATGTCGAGAGAAACAAAAACTCTAAAGAAGAAACAAATTAAAATTTTAGAATAGGAAAATACAATAGCTGAAGTGAAAAATGTGTTGAGTGGCAGCCTGAACACTGCAGAAGAAAGCATTAGTAAACTTGAGAACAGTTCAATAGAAGCAAAGCAAACTGAAAGTGAAAAAGTGAAGGTGTTAGTCACTCACTCATGTCCGACTCTGTGACCCCAGGGACTGTAGCCCACCAGGTTCCTCCGTCCATGGAATTCTCCAGGCAAGAACACTGGAGTAGGTAGCCATTCCCTTCTCCAGGGAATCTTCCTGACTCAGGGATCAAACCCCAGTCTCTTGCATTGCAGGTGGCTTCTTTGCTGTCTGAGCCATCCACCGACTGAAACCTGGAGATAAAAAGATTTTTAAAACATGGGACAGAGCCTCAAACAATTTCAAGCAACCTAACATTTATGTGAATGGGGTCCGAGGAGAAAAAGAAAGTCAAACAGGGCAGAAAAAATATTTTAAATAATAGTAGTTTTAAAAAAATTGAAATTTAATTGAAAGCATTAATGCACAGATCTAAGATTCTCAGTGGGCCAAAAGAGAGAAAATAGACAAGAAACCACATCCAAGTATACCATAGTAAAACACATGAAAAAACTAAAGGTGAAAAGAAATGTCATAAAAGTAGTTTTTTTTTTTAAAGTACATAGAGAGCAAAAATAGCTTTAACTGACTTCTCATCAGAAACAATGGATGTCACAGATTACAGAACAACATTGTTGAAGTCCTGGGAAAAAAAATGCTATTCTAGAATTCTGTGTCCAGCAAAGATGTAGTTTTAAAAATAAGGAGAAACAATGACATTCTTTGGCAAGTGACATCCATGAGAATTCCTTGCCAACAGACTTGTGCTATAAGAAATGCTCAAGGAAATCCTTTAGACTGAGGACAGGAGGACCTGAAGGGGGTCCTAGGGGAGGGACTCACGGGCACCGTTGGAGGTGCCTGGTGGTCCCCCACACCCAGCAACTGTTGAGAGTCCCCTTGGACAGCAAGGAGGTCAACCAGTTGGTTCTAAAGGAAATCAACTCTGGATACTCTTTGTAAACACTGCTGCTGAAGCTGAAGCTCCAATACTTTGGCCATCTGATGTGAAGAGCTGGCTCACTGGAAAAGACCCTGATACTGAGAAAGGATGACGGCAGGAGGAGAAGGGGATGGCAGAGGACAAGGTAATTGGATGACATCACCGACTCAATGGACATGAGTTTGAGCAAGCTCCAAGAGATGGTGAAGGACAGGGAGGCCTGCCTTGCTGCAGGCCACAGGACTGCAGAGAGTCAGACATGACTTGGGAACTGAACAATGACAACACCCAGCAAGGACCCCCTGAAGATCAGGGAGCCCAGGGAGACAGCTCCAGGGGTCAGGGGCCTGGCTGCTGCAGGGCTGTTGTGATTTTTCTGGAGGTGTCTGAGTGAGGATGGCCAGGAGGGTGAGCTGGCCAGAAACAGGTGAGCTGGAACTGCAGAAGAGCTGGGGAGAGGCCCCATGCTTTGCCAACTAGGCTGCCTCTGGGATCAGCGGGAGAGGCCGGGAGCCAAAGGCAGTGCTCAGGTCTTGAACTGGCCTGGGACCGGCCTTGCTGCGTGACCACAGTTAAGGCCCTTCTCTGGGCCTCAGTTTCTCCACCTCTGAAATGAGGCAGGTTAGCCAGATGGTGTGTAAGAGCCCTTCCAGACAAAAATAAAAATAAAGTCCATGACTGTCCCATGTGACGTATGAGATAGACAGATTTGGCTTAATCTAAGCCGTGAAACAAAGGTCCGTCTGGTCAAGGCTATGGTTTTTCCAGCGGTCATGTATGGATGTGAGAGTTAGACTGTGAAGAAAGCTGAGCGCCGAAAAATTGATGCTTTTGAACTGTGGTGTTGGAGAAGACTCTTGAGAGTCCCTTGGACTGCAAGGAGACCCAACCAGTCCATCCTAAAGGAGATCAGTCCTGGGTGTTCATTGGAAGGACTGATCCTGAAGCTGAAACTCCAACACTTTGGCCACCTCATGCGAAGAGTTGACTCATTGGAAAAGACCCTGATGCTGGGAGGGATTGGGGGCAAGAGGAGAAGGAGATGACAGAGGATGAGATGGCTGGATGGCATCACCAACTCGATGGGCATGAGTTTTGAGTAAACTCTGGGAGTTTGTGATGGACAGGGAGGCCTGGTGTGCTGTGATTCATGGGGTCGCAAAGAGTCGGACACGACTGAGCGACTGAACTGAACTGAATTGAAGCTGTGAAATTAAAAGATGTTTCCCCCTTGGAAGAAAAGCTATGATCAACCTAGACAGCATATTTAAAAGCAGAGACAT